GGTTGTTTTATCACAAAAAATTTTTTTTGTTTTTTTTTTTTTTTTTTTTTCCCCAGCCACTCTGATAAGGTTTCCTTAATACCAGAGGTGAATGTAGACCCTCCATAGAGGGGTCACAAGTGTGTCGCGCCCTCTCTTGGTTGTTTTTCTGAATAGTGTCCATTTGGTGCCTCTCCTTACACGCAGTTGCCGCCGGTCTAAAGTCTTGGCTGGGCCCCGTAGCGGGTGAAAGTGGTCTAGCGCAGGATACGATAGCCTTAGGAGGTCCGTAGCCACAATCTGGAGGTTCTGTGGGCTGGCATCCCCGACTGCTGTAAACCCCCTCAGATCCACGGTCCCTACACATTTGGGTCTTTTTCTGTTGCTGATGGAACTGGGGGGGTGTTGAGTCGGGCGCACACCCCTCCCCCTACTTGCTCTCTGGTGGTTCCTTACTTGTGGAGGCCGGATGCTGAGTCAAGGCTGAGGTCGTTTCTCAAGGGCTTAACACTGCATTGGTTCCCATTTCCTATTTGGACAAGTGCCTCTAAGCTAATAGCTTCTGGGTATGGAGCGGTAAGTAGCATAAAACTCATGTGATTGGGTTTGTTCAGGGTCGGGTGGTAAAGGGGTATAGAGTTACAGTCACAGTTTTACTCTGTAAGCACTTCTAAGCCAAATTACTTTTATAGGCTGTATGAACACAAAGCAACTCCCCATCGGGTTTTTGTCCACTTTCCCACAGTACTGTTGCCATCTAACCCCTAATAATAAGTGTAGTCTTATCTCACATGTGCAGACACAAAATCCAGTATTGACTTGTATACAAATAGGCAGCAAGTTTGAGCTTTTGACATATTAACAAAACCTACCTGCTATGTTAACTGTCAGGCGTCACACTATGGAGTTGAATTCAGTTTTTGCTGATGAGCTTTAAAAAAGTGCGAATTCCTGGAACCAGTTAATGGGACAGAAATTGTTCTTGAGAAGAGAGAACACTGCACTCTCACAAAACAGTTTCAGTGGCCCTTTTTGTTTACTTGCCCTCCACAGAAATGGGAGCTTATCATACAGTGACAGAAGTCAGCCTTAGATAACCCAGGTTTCTGTGTGTGCTGGTTTCTTCCTGCTTACTCGCTCCTCTCCCTCCAGGCCAGAACAGGCTCTCACTGGCACCTCGTGTTTTGTTCTGTGTGACTAATCCTGCATTACACTTTGAAACAGGACCTGAAAGACCTGATGAGAAAAGCAGGTGAAGTTACCTTTGTGGACGCTCACAGACCCAACAAAAACGAAGGGTGGGTTGTTCTTGTCTTAGTCAGATTACTCACTGTTCTCTTCAGAGTTTGGTCCTAATTACTATCTCTGCTGGAATACAGGGTGGTTGAGTTTGCCTCCCGCAGTGATATGAAGAATGCCATCTCCAAACTTGATGGGACTGAACTGAATGGACGAAAGCTGAAAATTTTTGAGGACAGCAGAAGGTGAGTTGGAAGGCTAGCTAATTCCCCCTGCTTCCATTCTCTATGCTAAGCTAACCACCTGGTGGCTCTAGCTTCATATTTGGCCACCAGCTTGCAAGTGGTATCGATCTTCTTATCTAACTCTCTGCAAGAAGAGAAACAGTTCATTCATTACAAAAAGAGATCTTTTTGTAGCTTTGTTCAATTCTCTGTGAATGACATGTCTGCTCGTTTGCTCCTCAGGTTAAACTCTTTAATCACTTATTAAACTGAGTGATCAAACCCAACACACCAAACAGAGCCCAACATAATTTGAAACAATTGGGCAGATTAGAGAACACATGAAGATCCTGCCCGACGCATTTAGATTGTAGAGATAAAAGCATGACAGTGTTGTAAAATCATAATTATTAAAGCTGTATAATAACACCGGACAAATGCTGAAGATGGCTTTTATCTCTGTGTTTCCCCCAACAGTCACAGCAAGAGCCGCTCGCGATCCCGCAGCTACTCCCGTTCCAAGAGTCGTTCCAGGAGCCGCTCCAGATCAGCCAGCCGCACCCCAGAGAAAAAGACCTCAGGAGGGGGCAAGGCTGCAGACAGATCCCCCTCCAGGTCCAAGTCCCGCTCAAAGTCCCGTTCTAGGTCTCGCTCGCAGTCACCTGCTCCGGCTCAGAACAAAAAGTCTCGCTCTCGCTCTCGTTCCCGATCCCGTTCCCGTTCTCGTTCCCGTTCCCGCTCTGCCTCAGTAGACGGCAAGCACTGAGACACCTGTAGGCTGTAAATAGACTGATGGTTGTTCACCACAGGCCTGTATGATGATGGGATTTTTTTTAATGAAGGGGAGGAAATTTCCTTTTATGTGGCTTCAGTCATTTATATGCTTACTTTGCCTTTGTCGTTTTTTGTGTTGGTGTGGATGTACTTCCACGGGAAAAGTTTGTTTTTTTCATGATTTATACATTTCCCCTTTTTTAAAGCCCCTTCATATTTTTAACAAATACCAAATGACAAACATTTTGAACAGTGATGCCGCTTGTCCCTGCTGTCTGCCACCCACTCTGCTTTCCTTAATTGTTCACGGTTAGATGGGAATGGTATCAAAGGATGAACATGGTTTTGTTTGTAATGTGAGCTCCGGCCTTTGTTGTGAAACTGATTACTCTTCATATTAGGCGCCATAACAGGTGCCTCTCCACATGCTACGTTCACTGACCTGATGTGTGTGTGAACATAAAAATGCAACCATCTCATTTAGTTACTTATTTCAGCTTTTGTGTGTAATATTGGTGTTAATTTTTAACACTGTTGTATCAGGACCTTGTCTCGTGTCGGTGATGAAACTCCCTTGCCTGTATTTTTCTTTGTCCAGCTTTGTCTTGTGGAGTGTCATGGGTCTGAACACAGGTGTCTATTTCAGCAGG